TATCCGCAACCAAGCTTGAGAACAGCGAGGATACAGATATAAAGGTTGACTGACTTCTCCATCATGACGCAAACTAATTGATCGTTGCCAACTCCACGATCGGCAAGCACACGGGCAAACTGATTAGCGCAGGAGTTCAGCATCCCGTAGGTCGCTACCTTTTCAACTTCTAGACCACCACGTATGACACGGGCGAACTTGACAGCAGGTCTTCCAGGATCCGACAATGCCCATTGTTCTACTGCATAAGCAGGACCACTCTCGATTGGTTGCTGCCGAGGGGTGGGATTCGCGATTGATAATGAAGGTGTGGTGAAGCACCATTTCATCTTATCGATGTTGTGGTTGGTGCTCTCCAACATTATTCCCACTACTTCGTCAATCTGGCGTGACAAGCATTCGATCTGTTGCTCCGGGAAGGTTGATGTATCGTACGTAGCTCGTAACGATATGTCATCTTCACGCGGTTCGAACTCGAGCGTGAGTCTGAATTCAAGGTCATCCGCGCTGTCGATGACTCTGGCCGCAAGTGTTGAGTTTGAATCCGAGGCTATTGACTGCTGCCACACGAACAAGACGTCAAAAAGCCGAGTTCCCGGTGGTATGTTGCCTGCCCTTACTATGTCGCGCAGGGAGATGGTACTGTGCTTCAGACTCTCTCGGTTCAACGCTTGTGTCAAATGTAAAAGGTCATGGGTGCTATGAGCGTTGTTGAGGTCTATGCGGAAGGGGACAGTTGCGATGCAAGGGCCGATGATATCCTCCACACCAGCCACGGGGATAGTTCGCCCAGATGAAACATTTCCGAGAATAACATCGGCTGTACCGTTGTAGAGACTAAGCACGTACGCAGTAGCCGCTTGGAAGTATACCTGGGGATTAATAGCCATTTCGCGAGCGCATTCAAAGAGCCGGGACCGATCGATGGCAGACAGCCGAGTGAAGCGCCGTGTAACTCGGTCACCAACAACCCTCCCGTGGTAATTAGGTAGCGAGATCGGAAGGTAGCCACTGAGGAGACTAGTCCAGTAATTTCTAGATGACTGTTCATCTTCGGAGTTTATCTGGGACAGATATTGGACTACTTCACGGAACTGTGGTCGTGATGCAAGTTTCTCTCTACGCAATCGCATATCCAGATCATGCAGCAACAGATCGAACGACCACCCGTCGTATAAAGCATGATGCATGCGAAACAGCAAGCGAGGTCGTTCGGAGCTTGTTATTATCTGCGTGTGGAACGGCCGCAGGAAGTCTTCCTCAGACTGCAGTGTGTAAAGTCTTGAAAAACTGTCGACTTCCTCGATCTGAGAGGCGAGCAGTTCTTTCCAGATTATCTGCGAAAAGGTTCCGGAATGCTGTGACTGCGCAAGGAAACCTGTACGTATGATTTCGATTTTGCTAGCCAAATATTGTATGGCGTCTCGGATGTCTTCGAACGTCTGCGAGATCGAAAGTTCGACCTCAACCCAGTTGCAGTAAGCGGCAGGCCTAGACATCGTCTCCGCAAGCATAGCCTCCTGCAAGGAAGTGCAAGGCAGTACATAGGCGATATTGCTACGCCACCGCTCCAGCTGAGGGGTCTCTATGTGGATGAGTGATCTTGGAACGTCTTTTGTTGGACCATGCAGACTGGCGGCTGTTGTAGGCTTTCTGCACATCGCACTAAGATCCTCCAACGTTTGAGCTGACAGTACGTCCATTGCTCCCAGCTCAAACCCCTCTCGTCGCAGCGCAGATGCGATGCGAATTGATTGTAGTGAATCTATCCTAGCGAAAGCAAGATCCAGATTTGATCCAAGATCTGGAGAGATATGGTGCCTGATGACATTCAGGACGGACCGGCCCACATGATCGCCCAAGTTGATATTGGTAGACGATGCCGTTCCATTAGAGCTAGCCTTGCTAAGGAATTCTCTGGTGAGAGAGTCTCTGTCGACCTTCCCCGATGGGAGTTGTGGCATGACATCTACAAAGAAAACGTCTGAAGGAACCATGAATGCCGGAAGCCAATGGCTACAAATGTTGAGAACATCTGTGCGTGTTACTTCACGCCAATCAGCAGCGCAAAATGCGACCAAGGATTCTTGGACGATCATCACTGTTGCTGTACGACAGTTCGGTATCCTCATGATAGCCTGTTCGATCTCGCCGAGCTCAACCCGCTGCCCTCTCAGTTTTACCTGACCAGCAATGACGCGGCCCAAACATTCCAAAATCCCATGGTCGTTGATCCTTGCGCGATCACCGGTACGATATAAACGGCCATACTCCTGGTGTTCAATGAACGATGCAGAAGTGAGATCCGGGCGATTCAAATATTCTTCGGCAACTTGAGGTCCTCCAACAGCAAGCTCACCAACTTCTCCGGTTTTGAGAATCTCAACACCAATCGATGTTAGGTCTCCAGTTGGAGGGGCGATAATAAAAGCCGAAACAGTGTCCAAGGGGCGACCTATCGTGCTAGTCGGTGAACACGTCGAGAATTGTGGCTGCAACGTGCAGTGGATCGAGGCTTCAGTCGGTCCATACATGGCCCACAGTATACTCTCCTTTGTCTCGTCGCCACCATACTCGACAATGACGTGCTGGGTGAGCATCTCACCGATTGTAAGTAGCAACTTCAAGCCAGGCACGCTCGCTCTACCCTGGAGAAGATTGCTCACAACTGTTGGCGTGAGTTCAGCTGCATCGATCTCCAGGCTGTTGATGGTTCCTGGAAGGTCGTCGAGCATTTGCGCACGTGTACTGCCAATTAACGTCTTCCCTCGGAACCATGGAAAGAAGATCTCAAATATGGAAACATCGAAGGTCTAGCACTGTGTCAGTACATGACAGAATTCAACTATGCTTATGCACTTACAGGAGCTGCAAATTGGAGAAAACGTGCAAAGTCAGGAATGTGTCGGTCGTGAGCCAGCAGACTTTGAGTGACCGCATGGTGCGATACGCTTACAGCCTTAGGTTTGCCAGTAGAACCAGAGGTGTACAGCACGTAGGCTAGATCCCTGGTACTCGATCTTGGTAATTCGATACTGAGGCGATCCTCACGATCGCAAAGCTCCTTATCCACAAGGACCACTTCGACATTGACTGCTGTTCGAATACGTTCATCGAGAGTTGAGAACGTGATGAATAGGTCAGGCGATATATCATCGAGGATAAACTTCAATCGCTCTATAGGTGTGTCGAGATTAAGAGGACAAAACGCTTTCCCTGCCTTCAAGACGGCCAATAAGACTATGTATAGTTCTGGAGACTGAGGCAGAAAGACCGGAATGATGGGCGAGACACTTTCGAGCTTCGACAGTCTTTCAGTGATCCTGCCAGCCAAGACGTCGCTCAAAATGTGCAGATTTCTGTAGGAGAACTTCCGCCTTTTCGATCCATGTTCCAGGAAATCGATAGCAGTTGCGTCATGATCAAATGGCCGCACAAGCTCGTGGAGGAGATCCGGTCCGCTCAGAATCGAAGGTCGCTCATTAAGTATCGAAAGTCGCTGGTTTGCGCCGTTTTCTTGAATCATGTCGTGTAAGATGTTAAATAGTGTAGCCGGTGGCAATGTTCACTGGTAGGGAATTTGAGCCGTTGTCGTCCCTAGCGATACCTCCATGAATGTCAGAGAAAAGAACTGCAGAAGATGCATTCGCTATTGCTGAATGGAAATTTGCAGAATGCGATAATGCTTAGTTGCAAGTTGCAGTGATGAGAAACTGCAGCACGGTGATTGGTTGAAGGGCCTCAAGTACCTTGAAACCAGTACACACGAGGTTGGTGCACGTGAGAACGAGTTCTAATACTCTGTGCTTGGGTAGCGCGTTTGAAGATTAATCACGAAGACCGCAGCGCTCTGTTGTAGGCGCAGGCAACAAGCGACCTTCAAGAACGCGTCGCGACCTCCGATTCGGAAAGAGCGAGCGAGCAGTGTTGAGGAAGGATAAAAGTTTAAGCTGAGGCGACAGGTATTTCGATAATTTCTTTGGTCACAGCTTCCTCCGTGATGTTGAGCGCTTTGTCCGTGGTTAAAGCGTCATACATCCTGGTTGACTGGCAAGTGGACGTGTCATTCGACAAGCGGCGCGTAAGATCTGATACCGTGAAGCAGACGCTTTTGGCGGCTCTGCAAGTGGACGGGAATTAGGAACGAAAACTGTTCGAGACAAGACTAAATCGAGACTGAAAACCGAAGTTCCACCAAATCATACTAGCCTTGGATCGTAGCGCAAATTGATGGGTGTAAAGGCGTGGGCGCGGCTCCGATGACGACGACGCCGTCGCGTTGGCTGGTCGGGCGTCATGTTTCATTGCCTCTTCCTGTCTCCCCACGCTACCGAGAGGATTCTGTTTGTCAGGTGCAAACAGGCAGCAAGATCCCGTTGAGATGTAGTGTTGGACGCGATCTCGGAGCGCTGCCGCTACTTGGTGGGGGAAGAAGCATGCCGGGCCTGCCGCCGAAAAATCCCGTGCTTTGAATGACATACAAGGCGGGTCATCCCTAAACAGAATTATCAGATGAAGTCTACCCCTGACATGATCGCAGGTGGCTGGTAGCCCAGCCCTACAGGAACAACTAGGTATGCACGCTGCATATCCCTCTGTCTATCACCAGACCGTTTAGCGCAAGCTCACATGCCCCTACCCAAACGACTGGGCATATCTTATAAACTTATTCACATGCGCTTTCCATGACCGTTTGAACAAAAACTCATCGCGCTGCCATTCTGGTGCGTAGAAATATAGCAAGGCGGGCCATCTATGACCATGCCAAGACCCTAATTTAGTTCTACGCTCCTACCATGTCTTCCATGTCGCGCATGGGTAGCTCTGACATCAACAACGCTGCACGTTCACTTCAATATCGCCTTTATGGCATCTTTTTTCATCACAACCTGCAGTCGCGTACTCGTCGCGAGACCGTCCCCTTCGCTTGTGCGCAGATGAATTGCTTTTGAGCACTGCAGTACCGAAATCGCATTGAATCACGCCAGGCGCGCGCCACAATGCCCCGTTATCATGACGATGACAGCTCTGAGAGCCAGCCCCTTCTGGACTCAGAGGAAAGTGAGATCGAGGACGAACCGTCTGTCCGTCACAGTACGCAATGGGAAAGACACGTAGAGCCATCACTGGCGACCGTCCAACCTCAAGCCTTTGATGCTCCTACTGTCTTTCGTCAACGGTTCATCCGCCAAATCCTAGGCTTGAACCCTTTCAAGACTTCCTACTTTACTTTGTACAGACAACTGGACGATGCTGGGTCGAAAATCATTCTCGTGTTGGGTATCGTCACTGCGGTTTTGGCTGGGCTGCCGCTTCCATTGATAGGCGTCGTCCTGGGTCGCATTATTAACAACTTCCCACCTCATCCAGATGAGTTGAAGCATCTGTTGTTCCGTCTTATGTCAGTCGCAGTCGGTTATTTCGTCGTTACCTGGGCCTGGGCTGTTTGCTGGGCTGTTATAGGAGAACGCGTGAGTAGAAAAACCAGAGAAAGACTTCTGCATCGTGCGCTGGGGATGGATATGACCTACTACGGTGCGTACATGCCCGAAACTTGCCTTGCGTAGATCGCATATTGACTTGAGATGCCTACTGCAGACACGGTCTCACCTGATCTGTCTAGCATTCTTACAGAGAAGACGCAAACCATCCAACTTGGCACCTCGGAGAAGGTGGGCCTTTTCATCGCATCAATAAGTTATTTTATCTCTGCGTTCACTGTAGGATTCATGCTCAATGCGAGATTGACTGGAGTAATGTAATAATCATCTTCGCCGAGCCAGGGAAAAGTCATTAACATAGCCAGGTTCGTCACTGTGATACCTTCCATGGCATTCGTTGTTATCTACGGCACTAAGCAGGTTTCCGATCTATCCAAACAGGCCACAGTTTACACCGAGAAAGCTGCCTCCGTCGCTGAAAGTGCAATCCGTGCAGTCCAAATTGTACAGGCTTTTGGCCTCTTCGAGCAGCTAAGCGAGGAACATGTTCATCATCTGCGGTCAGCATTGAGAATCGGAATCAGAAAGAGTGTTGCAGGTGCTGTCATGCTTGGTTCGGTGTATTTCGTGGCATACGCAACGAATGCACTCGCTTTCTGGTATGGCGACCGCTTACGAGATGGTAGCGCAGAAGCTGGCACAATTTATGCGGTCGTCTTTCTCATACTAGATGCTTCTTTCGTCGTTGGATCGTTTGGTCCATTCATTCAGACATTTGCTATGGCTGCTGCTGCAGGAGCTGCCGTACTGGACGTTCTAGACCATCCGACATCCGATATAGATGTGTACTCTCCAAAAGGAAAGCCAGCGGAAAGTGTACACTTCGAGAAAGACCTAGTCCTTTCATCCGTCTCGTTCGTGTATCCTGCTCGACCTACTGTCCGGATCTTAGACAGTATTGATCTACGCATAAAGTCCGGGCAAGTTACCGGTCTTGTTGGACCGTCCGGCTCGGGAAAAGTAAGCATAATTCTTTGGGAGATGTAGTCTTGTTACTAATGTGCCCGTTTCCTAGTCCACTATCGCATCCCTACTTTTGAGGCTCTACGATCCAACCTACGGCCACATATATCTCGGCAATGATAATCTGAAGTCATTCAATGTTCACAGTCTACGTTCACACATCGCGCTGGTCACACAAAATCCTGTCCTTTTCACTGGGACGATACTAGACAATATCAAGCATGGTATACCAAGTCGAGAAAGAGAGCAATTGACCGAGGACGAGATACTTGTGCGGTGCAAGGCTGCAGCGGCGGAGGCATACTGCGATTTTCTAGACCGTCTTCCGGAAGGCATACATACGAAGATCAGCTCTGGGCCTCAATCTCAACTGTCCGGCGGTCAGAAGCAGCGCATAACGCTCGCGCGTGCGCTAGTGGGGAACCCATCGCTTCTTCTCTTGGACGAATTTACAAGCGCCATGGACGGTACGAGCGAAGCAATCGTACTGGAAAACTTACGTCGTTCTTCTGCGAGCGCCGCTCGAACTACCGTTATCATTGCACATCGCCTGGCGACTGTGCGAGATGCCGATCGCATCGTCGTTATGAAGGACGGAAGTGTAGAAGAAGATGGGCGCCATCAGGATCTTCTTAAGAAGAACGGTGTCTACGCAGAACTGATTAGAGCACAACAATTCGAGAAGGGACAACCGTCCGCAGCCTCATCGATTCGGTCAACCACTCGCTCATCGCACAAAGAGCATGAAGATTCTTCGAGTGAATCAAACCACACGATTCAATCAACTCCGAAGTCGCAAGGCGATGCGCCTAAGATGAGTGCGCTGACATTGATTGGAAGATCATTAGCACTAAGCCGCCGTGAAACACCTGCCATAATTGTCGGCTTGGTTTCTTCCATCTTCAGTGGTGCAGTCATCATTGGCGAGGCGCTCATATTCGGAAACTTGGTCGAGCTTCTGAACGACACAACTGGAGCTGACGATGTCACCAGTAAAATCGCATTCTACTGTTTGCTCTTCTTCGGCTTGGCCATTGTCGCTCTGACTTCCCATTCCTTTGGCAAAACTGCATTCGGCATGGTCTCAGAAAACCTCACTCTGCGAGTCAGGGATCTTTCCTTCCGGACGATCCTGCAGCAGGACATTGCCTGGTTTTCTCAGCCTGGTCACTCCCACCATGCCTTGATGTCGCGTCTGAACTCGGACAGTGGCAGTATCAGTGGGCTCTCTGGAGTTATACTCGGAACCGTCTTCTCAATTGCGACGTCTGTTCTTGGTGGCATTGTGCTGGCCCACATAGTAGCATGGAAGATTGCTATAGTGCTGCTGGCAGCCGTCCCTGTCATGCTCTTGGCTGGCTTCTTGCGCCTTCGTATCTTGGCTATGGCAGAAGAACATCACCAAACGGCGTACAACGACGCGGCAGCTCTTGCTTCAGAGGCGACATCTTCCATGCAAATCGTTGCAGTTTTTGGACTTGAATCTCATTTTCTCGACGGCTATCGAGAGGCGATCCGTAAACCGTATGAAGAACACCTCAGGTTCAGCGTGCTTGGCAACATTCTACTCGCCTTTTCGCTCTCAATCACATATTTCGTCTACTCTTTGGCGTATTGGTGGGGGTCTAAACAAGTGCGCAACGGCAATTATAGTCAACGGGAGTTCTTCATAGTGCTACCTGCATTGCTCTTTTCCGCACAATCTGCAGGTCAACTCTTTAGCTTGGCTCCGGAAGTAACTAGGGCGAAGGCTGCTGCTCAAAGCGTCTTCTCACTACATGATGAGAAACCGACTATCATCACAGATCGGGCGCCTTTAGACTCTACCATTACTAATACATCGAACGGAGACGCCCTGTTGTCCGGCCCTTCAGCTTCATATGGTACGTTTGGTGTACGGGGCGAGCTCGAATTCCGCAACGTCAGCCTCTACTATGAGAGTCGACCAAATGTTCCTGCTTTGAACGACGTGTCATTCCAAATTCGACAGGGCGAGAACATAGCTTTCGTCGGCCGTTCAGGTGCTGGCAAGTCAAGCACAATTCATTTGATAGAAAGATTCTTCGACCCAAATGCAGGACAAGTCTATCTCGATGGGCAAGACATTCGACAAGAAGCTGTTCGCAACCATCGCGCTCGCCTAGCGCTCGTTGAGCAAGAGCCAGATCTCTTCCCAGGCTCAGTCAAGTTCAACATTGGTCTAGGCGCACGACCGGGCACCTCGGCTAGTGACGAAGACATCCAACATGTGGCTAAGGAATGTGAGCTCCACGATTTCATCATGAGCCTACCAGAAGGCTATAACACCGAGGTCGGCTCTCATGGATCAAAACTTTCAGGGGGTCAGCGTCAACGCCTTGCTATCGCTCGAGCTCTGATACGCGATCCTGAAATACTGCTTCTTGATGAAGCAACATCTCAACTGGATGCCAATACTGAACGGGAAATCCGAAGAGCAATTGCCGCTGCTTCTAAAGGCCGAACTACAATTATGATCGCACATCGGTTAGCAAGCGTACAGCACGCAGACCGTATCTTTGTGTTCGACACTGGGCGTATCGTTGAGCAGGGCCGACATGACGAGCTTGTGGCTATGGGGGGAATATACGCCGCCATGGTAGCCACGCAAGAGTTGGATTAAACATCATTCACGATTCCTTTCCGGATTTGCATTATGCAACATTGGCGGTCGATGTTGGTTGCTTTCCTTATGCAATCAATGCACTGTATCATATGCATGTATTTGTATGTTTACTTTTCGACCAGCTATAGATATGGTACTCGCATGGCAAGGCGCACGCAACAATTTCTTTACCAGTATCATCACAGTCCTTTTCATAATTAATACTTAATTTATCAACTACGATACACAAGTACCTCCTGCCTTCTTCGCCATGGTGCTTCCTATTCAGTCTGCCGCGCCGCCATTGCATGCTAGTGGCATATCATATGCACCAGATGTGGGCTATGATGATGAATGCCCGGGTCGAGCCAGGATTGTGTAGCGACGATGTTCATATAAGTCCGATTTTTACATAATGGTGTGATTAATACCAACGCAGCAACTTGTTCCTACAAAACTAAGCCATCGTACTCCTTCTATCTTGTTGTCACTGGGTGCACACAGAACTGCTATGGCGATACCAAGAAAGGGTCTTGAAGCGCCTCGTTCGTCATTAACCTACATTACCTGCGCTAATACGACCTGCTTTCGAGTGATCGGCGGCAGCGGCGTGCTAACCGAGCCTAGTAACAACGCCGAGACATGCAGTTAGATGGTGGTGTTGTTGGGCATGGACCAGTAAGACCGAGGCCGCTCCGAACTCGCAGGAAATCTCTTCATCTAATCTGATGGATTGATCCATTTCCATCTGATAATTTCTACTCCGCCAAGCTGATACTTTACCCACGACCCCACGGAGACTAAACTTATTCGAACCAGCCGATGCGATTCGAGGACAAGTGTAGCGGGGCCATGCCTGAAAATTTTGCCTCCGTCATGCGTTCCATGGGCGCCAGGTGAGCTTTTTGCTCGACGGCCTGAGCTCCGTCATCTTATCAGATGGCGCGTCCGTAGATCAGTGACATGGGGATTGTGCTACTATCATTTGGTTAGCGAACCAGGTGGTGACACCAGGTTGGAACGGACCGTCAGGGTCTACTCTTACGAAGTGACATCGGACCATTCTCTGACGAGCGTGGCAGCGGTCCTCGATCGACATGGATGAGCTATACGCAAGAACGGATCCTGGGCACGGATATGGTCCAGATGCAAGTCGTGGCCCTCGTAGACTTTTTCCATAACCTGGAGACGGCGACTGTATGAATATCCAGCGATTGAAGTCTCTTGCGATTTCCAAGTAAAGGGTTGATTAGGTATGTTGGCACTTGCCAGTCCACTCGTGTTGTTCATTCGCGTCTAGTGTAGACGTCATTGGTTTTATCACATGAATCCGCTGACTTTCGGCTATGCGCGTACAGTTTTGCGGATTAAGCTCCTTCACGGCCGATTGCTCAGTCTAAAAGTTCCCTCTGGAGCGTCAGTAAAACCCGTCAGCGTACGTGTTTCTGAAGTCTATGAAGCAAAGCGACGCATGTTATGTCGCGCCTGTTGTATTGACGATACTAACGACGCTGTGCTTTTCGTAGTGATACCTGCTGTTCATTTACGCAAACATGAGTCCCCACGCGGAAATGTCGTCGACCACATCCGAAGGACCGGCCCCAGCCGTGCAACGAGCGTTCAATGGTATCTTGAGCGAGAACTTTGAAGAGAGCCAGCTTCCCACATTTGAGAACCGGTCACACCTCCGATACACCCCAGAAGATGAATTACACGACCTGATCTGTGTCGGTTTTGGACCAGCTTCACTAGCTATTGGCGTAGCCCTGCATGATGCTTTGGATGGAACAGACCCTTCCCTTGTAGATGTTCCAGGTCTGCAGAGCAGATCACCAAAAGTCGCTTTTCTCGAGAAGCAGTCGCAATTCGCATGGCACGCTGGTATGCTCCTACCAGGAGCCAAGATGCAGATTACTTTCATGAAAGACATGGCTACCATGCGCAACCCGAGGAGCGAATTCACCTTCATTAACTACCTGCATCAGAAGGATCGTTTGGTGGAGTTTGCCAATCTCAACACCTTCCTACCAGCTCGTGTAGAGTACGAGGACTATATGAAGTGGTGCGCTAGCTGGTTTGAGGACGTTGTAGCGTATAGCCAGGAAGTCGTCAAGATCATGCCAGAGAAGTCACCGAATGGCGAGATTACTACGTTCACCGTGGTTTCGCGTAACCATTTGACAGGCCGCACCGAGTCGCGGAGAACCAAACACGTAGTTGTCGCTGCGGGTGGAAGGCCCAACATCCCCGCGCCGTTCCCCACGAACCACCCCAGAGTTATCCACTCGTCGAAGTTCTCGTTCATGTCAAAAGAGCTCCTGAAAGACCACAACGCACCGTACAGCGTAGCAGTGATTGGCAACGGCCAGAGTGCCGCTGAAATCTTCGACTTCCTACACGCAAACTATCCGAACGCACGAACACGAATGCTGATCAAGGGAGGAGCGCTGCGACCAAGTGACGACTCGCCGTTGTAAGTGACGGCCACCAGCTACAGTGTTTGCCTGCTAACCATTCCAGTGTCAACGAGATCTTCAACCCTTCGCGAACAGACTGCACATTCAACCGCGCGCCCAAGCTCCGGGCAACTACGCTCATCGAAGACAAGGGCACCAACTACGGCGTCGTTCGCCTCCCTCTCCTCGAGCACATCTACGAAACGCTCTACCTACAACGCATTCGTCATGGCAACTCGGCTGCCGAAGAAGAGAACTGGCCGCACCGTATAATGCCATACCGTCGCGTCATTGACGTGACTGACTCGCCGGTTCGGCAGGGTGGTGTGCGTTTGCAGGTACAAGACACTAGCCCCTTGTATTTCTCCGAGTGTGCGGGTGGGCAAGAAAGGCAGGAGACGCTGGACGTCGATGCCGTCTTTGTAGCAACAGGCTATTACAGAGACCTGCACGAGACGCTGCTCAAGGATGCGCGACACTTGATGCCCGGCGGAGAGCTCGAGGGCGCCAAGTGGCAGGTGCAGCGGGACTACAAGATCAACTTCACAGAGAAGAGCGTTGGCGAAGATGCTGGTGTCTGGTTGCAAGGCTGCTGTGAAACGACGCATGGTGTAAGTTGTGCTCCATGTCACTGTTGGAGACGAGACGTGCTAACGACGACGACAGCTGAGCGACACGCTTCTTTCGGTGCTTGCGACAAGGGGAGGTGAGATGGTGAGGAGCATCTTTGAGAAGCCAGCCAAGTGGGACAATGGCGATGTCCTGGGAGGGTACGAGATGCGCGAGTGATGTGCAGGCATGGCTTGTGCTTTTAAAAACTGTACATAGGTAATCTTCTACTTTTCTTGCTTCGACTGCTACTATGACGTCTTTGACCATGCCCACTCGCTTATCCGTCAGCCGCTTGAATTGCAAATCGCACTCCTGCATTGCGTGTTGTGCGCGGTGGAGAAGGCGAGCATAAAAAAGCAACGCTTGTTTGGAATTGATATCACAGCCTAAGTAGCATTCAGGGTCGCGCCTTCCTGTTTGAGGACCCTGAAAGCGGACGCGGCCCAACAGCGAGCAGTGCAGCACAGCGTAATTCTGGCGGGCGGGTGTGGTGTAGCTGGGGCAGGAAGGGTCGAGGAGCAAACGGCAGCCAGCAAGGCGCGACGAGGAGCGTGAAATGCAGCAATCACCCCACGATGATGGGCGTGAGGAGGTTGGCCGCTTTGGTCACTAGCGCAACCAAGGACAGAGCCCAATTCCATGCATGTTGCAATGGCGCCGACATCAGCGCTACGCTGACCTCAAACCCATCCTTTCCCTTCTGCCCTGTGAAGACTCGCTCGTGCGCACCAATCTGCGCGTCTGTTCCTCTGCGGCTGCTCCAGGTCCTGCTGCGAACAGCGTACAGCCGTTGACCACGTAACACACCACACCCCGCAACAGCCAGACGACGCACCCCCGTCCCCTCGAGGCTCGTACGGCCAGGCCCATAACAACAAGCGCGCTCCCCTTCACCTCCAGCCCACGCACGCCCGTTGCAATCGAGACGCGAGTGCTGCGCCGCAGTCGCAGCTTGACGGAGCTCAGCCCACCTCTCCAGCCAGCGCGTACCCTCGGCATGCAACACCCGCAGTGACGACTGATTGGCGTCTCTTCCTGCGACACAGTCGCTTTGCAACCCTCAGCACCCGCAATCTCCGGCTGCCATGGAGCCACAGTGGACGGCCTACTCAGAGGCACCGGGCAATCGGTACTCGCACAGCATGACGTCCTCTCCCCACGCCTCGAGAGACGCCAGCGTGTCTTCGCAGATCAAGCAGGACCCCTACGCAACCCCGTCACGCCAGAGTTCAATGCCGCTGCAATCGCCCAGCGGCACTGCTAGCCGCGGACCCGACTACAACGACGGAGATGGCGATGTGCCCATGGAGGATGCATACAAGCCACGGCTGAACAGCATGGCGCGCCCACAACAGCAACAGAGGCATTCGCAGCAGTACCTGCAGCAAGAGGAAAGTGCCGCCGCACGCAGATACTCGCCTATGAACCTCTCTCCTACCTCAACCTACTCGGCCGGCGCACAGCAAGCTGGCCAGAACTACACCAGCTTTACCCCTCAGGCCCAAGCGCAGAGTCAAGGCAACCGGCAGAGCCCGACGCGCAACAATCCTTACATGTCGCCGCCCAACAACAACAACAACTACTACTCTCCGCCGTGTACGTCCATCTTGTGCTTTGGTTTACTCCCGTCTTAGCGCTGCGATACTGACTAGCATTGCTCTAGCCTCCCGACCGCATGCGCCTCAACTGCCGCCCATACAGTCAAACATGAGCCCAGAGAGTTTCTACCCGCAATCCGCCACGGCGCAGCTAAACGCAGTCTACAACAGAGACGCTCGATCGCCGCGCGCATCTGCTAACTCGAACCCTCCTCCACAACTCCCTCCCATAGGACGAGGCCCGGTGCCAAAATTCGAAAAGTGTGTCAACACTGCCGACTTGCAACCCAAGATCAATGCCCAGCCGCCTTTTCGTCGCGCCAATCCAGAGGGCGGGTTTATTAGCGTAGGT